CAACTCCACGCTAGCGCAAGTCTACATGACAACTACCAACTACCAACCACCCTACTTCTTCTTCGCGAAGAGTGGCTGGCCAATCTGGCTAGCAGCACCGCGGAGCTTGACGCCGACCACGCGCTCAAGCTTGCCGAGCAGTGCCTGGTTCGGCGTCGCGCGGCCGGCCTCGAGGTCGGCGATCTGCAATTAGCACGGGTCATCGCTGTCTGCACGGCTGCGCGACACGACACTCACGTCCTGCGGCTTGGCGTTGACGGCCGTTGCGAGCTCCTTCTGCGTCATGCTCTTCCCCTCTGCGTTCTTCTTGTTCATGCGTGCGGTAGCGAGGGCCTTGCCGACGCTGGCGTCAGTGGCGTCGGGGCGTCGGACTAGGCCTCCGCCCGCAAGTCCAGAGGTCGTGGCAGGGCCGCCGCACTCACGAAATATCGACCTTCTCAGGCGGCTTGGGCGCGTCGTCAGCGTCCAGTTTGCCCAGGCGCTGGTAGTCGGCCGGGCCGGTGGTCTGCGTGCGCCCCTTGGCCGTGGTGGACGTGACCGTGCCGGCGCGCTGGGCGGCTGAGGTCAGTTGGGCAAGCGGGCACGTCTAAGGCGGGATCGTGGGCGGAGAGAGCGGCACGGCACCGCATATGCCGCGTGCACGCGCCGGCCATTCGCCTCTATTCCGCCACTCTCTCTCTCTCTTCCGGCTTCTTCTCCGGCACTCTCTTCTCCAGCACGCTTCATCGTCCCGCTTAATCGTCCTCGGTCTCCCATGCCGTCCTCCAGCCAAGACGCCGCCCCCGCACTCACCATTCAGCGCCGAGCCCTTGGCAACCGTCGCGCGCTTCTGGCCGTAGCCGATGACAGTAGGCTTGTCGTCCCAACCAGACTGAGAGTCAGCACATCCCCGCGGCCATCAGCCGCGCGGCCTGCAAACGCACCATTTTGATCGTGTGTTCGAGAGAGATGACGGAGCGTCGTGCGAGTCGAGTCGCGACGTCGCGGAGTGTGCTGGAAATGGAGCCGAAAAGCGGGAGTATACCCACGTGGGGTGACGCAAGTCAAGTCAGTGTCAGTCGGGCAGGCATGGTTATTGCAGCGGTCAGATACTGCTTGATGCATACTTCTCATCGGATTTCATGACGTTTGGGCGGCCGGCGGCCGGCGGAGTCGGCGCAGCATTACCGGACAACTGGCACGGTCTTCTTGAGGCCGATGATGGGCTCCGTCTCTATGTCTACCTTGAATGGGGGAAACCACCCGATCCGCTGACATGATTATGAGATCGAGGGCTGATATGATGCTTTATATCATCTCTACGACTACAAGCTGTCGCGTTCGACTCTGGTCCGGAGCTCCTGAAATTGGTCACAACGGTGCACCGCCATGGCCATTTTGCTCCAATAGTTCCAACTCCGGGCGACTGCCCTCTGTCCCCGGCCTCGATAAGTAGAGACCCCACACATGTACGCATAGAGCGTCGACCGTCTGGCTGCGCAGGTCGAACCCGTCAAGGGCAGACATGCCGTCGTACCAACTCCGACGCGTCAGCTCAACGATTGACAATGCTAGTCTCCAGGTCAGCCTCGCAACGTTCCTCGCAAAAGTCAGATCCGTAAGGCGCCGACGGTAGCTATTCCCGTGCGATTCCACTCCCCCGAGCAGCATCCTACATGTGCATCGATCCGTACACGCGTCAAAGGGCCCATCAACCCAACTCGACCAGAGACATGCAGCCCCGTTTTCTCTCCGCTCCATGGTGCTCGCACCACTGCTCGACTGCGACACCACTCGTGCTCGCCGCGCTCAACCTACTACGCTCCCGGTGACGCTTAGTGGCCCCGGTCGGCGTACGAGGTCTGGCGGCCAGTCTTGACCTCGTCCTTGACCGAGATACCAACCATCGCCTCACCGAGGTTCTCCGAGATCTGGGCGAGCATGTCAGGGTTGTTGTAGTGCGTGACGGCCTGGACAATGGCGCGGGCACGCTTGGCCGGGTCACCCGAAAGGAAGATGCCCGAGCCCACAAAGACACCGTCACAGCCGAGCTGCATCATGAGGGCGGCGTCAGCGGGAGTGGCCACACCACCGGCGGCGAACGAGACAACAGGAAGGCGCTTGAGGCGAGCAGTCTCCTTCAGGAGGTGGTACGGCGCCTGGATGTCCTTGGCGAACGCGTACAGCTCGTCGTCGCTCATGCTGGCCGCCTTGCGGATGTCGGCCATGACAGTGCGCTGGTGCTTAACGGCCTCAACGACGTCGCCGGTTCCGGCCTCGCCCTTGGTACGGATCATGGCCGCGCCCTCCGAAATGCGGCGAAGCGCCTCACCGAGGTTCTTGCAGCCACACACAAAGGGCACCTTGAAGGCGTGCTTGCCGATGTGGTGCTTGTCGTCGGCCATGGTGAGCACCTCAGACTCCTGTGCAGGTCAGCGCACGCCCGCCCGGAAACCCCGCGGGCTGACCAAACAGGCCGCGGATCAGCCGTTAGTTACGCACATCAATGTAGTCGACGCCAACGGCCTGGAGGATCTGCGCCTCGACGGAGTGGCCGATACGGCACTTGGCCATAACGGGGATGGAGACGGCCTCGATGATCTCCTTGATCATGGCGGGGTCGGACTGGGGTCAGCATGGTGCAACAGGAGTGGGGTGCCCAGGCCGAGACTGCAGGTAGCGCCGGAACATGGATTATGGGCGTCTGAAGGATAGGAGCTCGTCCTTCTGGGATAGTTGGGTGAGCTCCGAGTGCTGCTCGAGGCAGCTCACAGGGCTGCCTACACTGGCAACCTCGAAAAGCGTGGCGAGAGCGCTCAAGCGCCAAGCGCCGAGCGCCGAGCGCCGTCCGAGCGTTGTCCAAGCGCAGATTGCGCTTAGGCTCATAAATCTGCCTGGAACGCCCTCTCCGCTTTCGGCGCCATGTGTGTCCTTCGCCCCTCCTACCCTGCGCCCCGCATTCTCCCGGGGGCTGTCCGCTAGCTCCATCATCCGGGGTTCATCGGCCAGGTCATGCCGGCAGCCATCAGGCGGCCCATCAACGTGCTCGCTGCACTCATGGAAGTTTGACGCAAACTGCTGGCATGGCGCCAAACAGGATACGCGACATGTCCACCTTCCCTCCGATTCACTACCCCTCCACGTGTTGCCGTCGCTCACTCACCATACGGGCAACACCACCGTCGCGACGGATGTTGGCGGGGATGCGCTCAAGAGCCATGACGGCGACGGCGCCAGCCTCCTCGGCGATCTTGGCCTGCTCGACGTTCATGACATCCATGATGACACTGGGGTAAGCGGGGTCCTCCGGGTAGTGACGGTGACGACGAGGTCGCGGCTTCTGGACGATTCCGCGCTTCGACTCGAAAAGACTGTCCCGGGGCGTCGCCGGTTCCAACGCGTCGCGTGCGACGGGACACCACGAGACGGCCATGTTGGGCGCGCAGACCGCCCCCCCCCCCCCCCCCCCCCCCCCCCCCCTCCCCCCTCTCCGCTGAGGGAAGGTGAGAGCCAACTGGACAACCAGTGCCTCTCGGACACTGGGGCCGACCACTTGCTACACTCGCACGCCGTTTCAAGAGTTTTGTCGCGCCGTGCCCACCTCGGCCCCCACCAGACACTCAAACTCACCCGCCCTTGAGCATCTGGGCCAGACCAGCCTTGGTCGCGAAGCCGCCGGTGGTGCCTGCGCCGGTGGAGGAGGCGCCGCGGCCGGGGATGGAGGGGGTGGAGGCGCCGCCGTTGGGGGCGTGGGTGGGGAGAGCGTGGGAGCTGTGGACGATGGTGGGCTCGGACATGATGGATGGAGGATGAGAGGGAGGGAGGGAGAGAAAGAAAAGTCGGGAGGGCCGATGGGCTAATGTAGTGGGTTGAGAGAGGCTATCCAGGCAGGTGGGCTCATGACTCCCCACCCAGCGGCGATTGGCACAGTTAACCGGGGTTCTGATTTGAAAGTAAGCTAATAAATCTAATAAATCCTAATTGGAGCGCCAACAGGGCTAATACAACCTCGGTTTTCCAATGACCTCCACCCCACCCTGGGTAGCGTGTTCCGTTCCCTCCCTGTGCGGATCTCGGCCATCCTCTTCCGTCTCTCCGCCCACGTCGTCAGCCTAGCCGCCCAGCCACTACCGCCCCTCGCACGCATCCACGCGCCGCGCTCTACCCTATCGCTGTAGACTGACTCGAAGCAGACTTCTGACTCATCTGCGCATTTCTATGCGATTAGGCGGATATCGAATCCAGCGCCGCCCGCAGCAGCCGAGGCATTCCGCGCATTCCACCTCCACTCAAACCTCGTCGCCTCCTCGGGCCTGGCCCCTTGGCAGGGGGAGGAGCCTCCTCTCTGCGCGCTGCGGGCTTGGCTTCATCCCCGGTGGCCCCGTGGTCACTGCAATCTATAATCGCGCCGCCTCGGACGCGACCGACGACCGAGGGGGCCGTGTCGCCGTACTCTTGTGGCTTGGTCTTTTCCAACGCGCCCCGATGTCGTTGACAGAGACAGAGGATCCCGAATTGATCGAGCAACTGATCAGCTGATTGGGGCACCGTGTAAGCGAGCAGCTCGAGTCGATGCATCTCAAGGTCGCTGCGCGCTGTGGCGAGGTTGTGGCGCTCACTCTCTCCCTCAGTCTCCCTCAACGCGCCCTAGATGCCAGCGCAGCAGCCCAAGCGCAAGTAATGGCGTGATGCATCCTGACCCTCCGCTCCTCCATGCCTCCAGTCCGAATCTGCTTGCCGAGTGGCGCACTCACAACCCTCAATACTCGTGATCACTCAGCATATCAGCATCGAGGCAGACGCGTGGTTTGACGTTGAGAACAGGTACATCTCAGGCTCATGACGCGCATACTGCATACAGTGAGCTCCGGGGTTACGTAGCTCACTCCGTTTCCACGGACTCTTGCTTGTTGTCGTAGGTGTCGTGGACACTTGATCAGTGTCCGGGACTTGGGCGAGCACTGACCCCGCTATGCATCTGCTGGCTACTGGCGGTCCGTTGACTACTGATAAACTGCTCATACGACAGGCCACCCCATCGATGGGATCTAGGATATTCACGCCACAGTCTACTCTAGTAATGCAAGCTCACCTTTCGCCTGCCTGCTACTGATCAGCCACGACAAGTAGTTGTCAGCTTCCTATTTTGAGACTGATGTGTTAATATAATAAGGCGCCGTACTCCACGGGGTGTGGCGACGGAGAACGAGGCTGATAGGTTAAGAGAGATCGAGGCGCTTGAAAAGTCCCTGCTCGAAACGTGGACAGGCGTCGCACGCTCATGCCTGTGACAGAGGTTGCATGACCACGCCACAGTTGTCTCACATCATGGCCTCATCTCCTGCCCTTCAAACGCATAGAACACGCCTGAGCGATCCGAGATTCCGATCGGGCTATGCAGAGATCGACGCGACGCGATGCATAACTGCAACATGTCAAAAGAGTAGTACATCTGTGGCTGCTGATGTGATGCTGTGCTCTGAGCGACACAGCCTGGGCAGGGAGACGGGCAAAGGCGATGAAGACGGAATCAAATTCCCCCGCCCAGCCCATGAACATCCAGTCGCACGCGTCACATGCTGCGCGCGCGTTGCTCGGCCTTGCTTGCTCCCACTGCGTCTTTATCATCCTCTCTCTCTCTCGTTCTCTCTCGATCCCTCTTCGTATCCTCTTTCTATCAACTCATCGACTCACGCCAACTCCCCCCCCCCCCCCCCCACCCCCCCCCCCCCCCTCACATTCCACCATCATGTACGGAGGCGGTTACAACAACAATCAGCCCCCGTCAGGCTTCCAGCCTCAGAACGGCTACCAGAGCAACCCTCCGCCACCACAATTCCAGGACACCCGCGCCTTCGGAGGCTACCCCGGTGCTGGCGGTGGCTACCCTGGCGCAGGCGGAGGTTACCCCGGAGCAGGCGCTCCTCCACCTCCGCAGTATGGACAGCCTCAGTACGGCGGCGCCGGCGGTGGCTTCCAGCCGCAAGGAGGAGGGTACAACCAGGGCGGCGGGTTTCAGCCGCAGGGAGGAGGCTATGGGCAACAGAGCTATGGACAGCAGAGCTACGCACCTCCGCCGCAGCAGCAACAGTACGGCTCGTACCAGCCTCCCACGGGGCAGCCTCCTCCCCACCACTACCACCCGAATGCGCAGGGATACCAGCCGCCTCAGAGCTCGGGACAGTACGGTTCGTACCAGCCACCATCTGGCCCTCCTCCGCCGCCGCCGACCGGTGCTCAGCACTACGGTCCCCAGTTCCAGGGCCCCGGTGGCAAGCAGCAGCCGTACTTCCAGTACTCGAACTGTACCGGTAAGCGCAAGGCGCTCCTCATCGGCATCAACTACTTTGGTCAGCAGGGTCAGCTGCGCGGGTGCATCAACGACGTGCACAACGTTCAAAAGTTCCTCATGGACCGCTACCACTACCGCGCAGAGGACATGGTGATCCTCACCGACGACGCCAAGAATCCCCGCCAAATCCCGACGCGCCAGAACATCATCCAGGCAATGCAGTGGCTTGTGCGCGACGCCCGACCAAACGACGCTCTTTTCTTCCACTAGTAGGCATTCTTAGGCGTGGGCACGTGCTGACTCATCAGCTCCGGACACGGTGGTCAGGTCAAGGACCAGAGCGGCGACGAGGATGATGGCTACGATGAGTGCATCTACCCCGTCGACTTTAAGCGCGCGGGCCACCTGGTTGACGACGACATGCACGCGCTCATGGTCCGCCCACTTCCCGCTGGTTGCCGTCTCACTGCCATCTTCGATTCGTGCCACTCTGCAACCGCTCTTGACCTGCCCTATGTCTACTCGACCGAGGGCAAGATCAAGGAGCCCAATCTTCTCGCCGAGGCCGGCCAGGGCCTGCTCGGCGCGGCGGGGTCGTACCTCAAGGGTGACCTGGGAGGAATGGTGTCGGGCGTCTTCGGTGTGGGCAAGTCGTTGCTCGGCGGCAACAAGGACGCTGCCGAGAAGACGCGGCAAACGCGCACGTCACCAGCCGACGTCATTATGTGGTCGGGTTGCAAGGACTCGCAGACGTCAGCCGACACGAGTGAAGCCGGCAAGGCGACGGGTGCGATGTCTTTCGTAAGTTGCAGCGTTGGGGCGAATGATAAGATATGCTAACCCACAGGCGTTCATCGCGGCCATGACAAAGAACCCGCAGCAGTCGTACGTAATGCTTCTGCGCTCTATCCGCGAGGAACTCCGCGGCCGCTACGACCAAAAGCCGCAGCTCTCTTCTTCTCACCGTAAGTTGCCACCACGGTATCGCTGACTTTTAGCTATCGACACGAACCTGCTCTTTATCTGCTGAGACTCCTGTACGCCTAGTTATGCCCGACGATGCAAACGATACCTCGCCCTGCAGCGCGTGCTGCACCGTGCACTACGCAACGCCAAACCTCGCTTACTAGGACGAGCTGATAGCGCGATGGCCGCCGCAATCGACCATCACAGTGGCACAGCGGGACAGTGGCACAGTCACAGTGGGTGAGGGGAGGCGAGTGGGGGAGCTCGTCCCCCCGCTGCCATAGCGACCTCTGGCTGAGACCACTGGCTGCGCCCTCAAAGCTACCGAGCAGCCTGAGCGCGTCAGTGGCGACCTTTGTTATCATCGTTGCGCGCACTGATGAAAGTGGCCGGGGCATTGTTTGTCCTCGTCCTCTTCATCTCCATCGGCCAATCATGCCGCGCCCGTCCGCGCAATGCACACTATCAGAGCTAAGCGCCAGATCGGGCGTGTATTTGCGTGCACGCGCCGACTTGGCACCATGTGGTGCCTGTGCTTTGACATCCAAACGCATCAGCGATTTCTCCATTCCGCCTCCTGCGTCCTCTGCACTCTCTTGCACTTTCGTCCAGCTCCTTCTCCTGCTTCTCCTGCTCCTTGCTCTCCCATAGCTCGTGCAATGACCTCGCACTGACCAACTGACCACCTATAAACCCCTCACGGATAGCTCTTGGCATGCTACGGACGACCCTCCCTACCATCCTATTCACTATGGAGAAGAAGTACGACACCGACGTCGCCGCCGCCGTCTCACCGCCTTCCGTGACCCAGGCCGAGGCCGGCACCAAGGTCCCCAATTCACAGGTGTACGGCGACGATATCCAGAAGGGTCTTAAGCGCGGTCTTAAGCCCCGTCATGTGTCTGTAAGTTGCGCGGTGGATGGATCGCTGCGCCCTCCGTCTCCTCCACTCCGCCCCTCCGCCCTCCGTCTCCTCCACTCCGCCCCTCCGCCCTTCCGCTCCTCCGCTAACCCTCTCCCCCCTCTTCCCGTGGTATCATCGGCACCGGCCTCTTCCTCGGCACAGGCAATGCGCTCGTCAAAGGCGGCCCCGTTGGCCTTTTCCTCGGCTATGCAATCTACGGTTGCGTGCTGATCTGGTGATGACCCTCACCGCAGAGCCCCCCCTAATGCCAGCATCATGCAAGGCATCGGCGAGATGACGGCCTTCCTCCCCGTCCCCGGTGGCCACTTGACGTTCTGCGGCCGCTTCGTAGACCCCGCCCTCTCGTTCGCGGTCAACTGGGCGTACGCCATCCAGTGGATGCTCGTGTGTCCCGCAGAGTACGTGCAGCGCCACCACGTCTGACGCCAGACTCGTCGCCGTCGCCGTGCTCATGAATTACTGGGTCGACGATACCAAGGTCAACAACGCTGTGTGGATCACCGTTGCTCTCGTCATTATTGTTGTGCTGAATTGTTTCCCGGCGTCCGTGTATGGCGAGACCGAGTTTATCTTTGCCTCGATCAAGATTATTACGATCGTTGGTTTGATCAGTGAGTGTCTCTCCTTTCCTCCCCGCTCACTTACACAGTCTGCGGCATCGCCATCAACTGCGGTGCCAACTCGGCACACGACTACATCGGCTTCCGCTACTGGAAGGACCCTGGGCCCTTTGGCGTGAAATATCTCGGACTCGGGGGCTCGACCGGCCGCTTCCTCGGCTTCTGGGCCGTGTTGACCCAGGCTGCGTTCTCGTAGGTCCCCCACCTATACCGGTAATCCGCTTACCCCAGCTACTTCGGTGCTGAGGTCGTCGCCGTCGCCGCCGCCGAGTCCAAGAATCCCGGCCGCTCCATCCCACGCTCCATCCGCCAGGTCTACATCCGTATCTTCATCTTCTACGTGCTCGGCACATTCATTATCGGTCTCAACTGTCCCTCCAACGACCCCCGTCTCGGCACGACCAGCGACGCGTCCGCCTCCCCCTTTGTCATCGCCATTTCGCGCGCTGGCATCAAAGTCCTCCCCCACATCATTAGTGCGTACTCCTCACCCCTACCTTCCACTCCGCTCACACCAGACGGCTGTCTCATCTCCTCGGCTTGGTCCGCCGGCAACGCCGACGTCTACATCGCCGGCCGCTCCCTCTTCTCCCTCGCCAACCAGGGATACCTCCCCAAATGGTTCGTGTACACACTGCCGAACGGCACGCCCATCGTCGCGTCCATGACCGCCGCCGCGTCCGGCCTCCTCGCATACATGGCCGTGAACGCCAACGCGAACAAGGTCTTCAACTGGTTCGTGAACCTCATCTCGGTCGGCGGCATCATGATCTATGTCGGCATCGCATGGACCTACCTGCGCTTCCGCGCGGCCTGCGACGCCCAGGGCATCGACCGCCGCCAGTTCCCCTTCCGCTCCCCCTTCGCCCGCGTCGGCGCGTGGATCTGCGTCGTCGCGCTTCCTAGTGAGTCATCCGAGCCTGCGAGCCACCTTGGTCCGCTCAGCCCTCCCATTCTCCCAGTCTCGCCCCCCGTCACCGGCCATCCCATTCCCTCCAGTCTCTCCGCTCACTCAGTCATCGCCCTCTTCTCCGCCTGGCAAGTGTTCATGGACACGGAGAACTTTGACAAGGCGACGTTCATTACCAGTGCGTCCTCTCCTAACGAATCTCACCCAGACTACCTCCCCGCCGTGCTCGTGCCCGGCGCGTACGTCGTGCGCAAGTTGTACGCCAAGACCAAGATTATCCCGCTCTTGGAGGTCGACCGTGCGTCGCACACAAGACTCGCTCACACCAGTCGCAACCGGCGCGCGCACCAAGGCCGACGTGCTCGAGGAACTCGACGAGGCGCCAAAGGGCTTCGCCGGGTACATCCACCGCTTCCTCTTCTAGTCTGCAAATGCTGGACGCGGGCGCTATAATGTAGCCGCGCCCGTATAATATGAATGACTAATCTGCGTAAATCGGTGCTGTGCGGTCTCGATACTGGAGACTAAACTCCAGCGCAGTGATGCGCCTTGTACACGTGCTGATGAGCAGGTGTCCAAGCAGGTGTATACTAGGCCTTGCGACACGAGTGAGCCTGTAGCCTGACGTGGGCATCACAGGTAACAGCTCACTTGAGCCACACGTCTTCAAAGAGCAGTATAAACTCGCGGATATCGGCGGGCATTCAAGAGTTTCCGTTGCTACATCAGGCATGCAGGCATGAATCGTCCAGCACCATCATGGCAGAAATGAGATGAGGCGCATTAACGCTCCTTTTGTGCCAGCATGATGCATGATACGCGTCCCTCGGATCGGCATGCTCGAAGCCACTTGCTGATCTCTCTCCGCTCTCCACGTCCACCTTTCTCATCAAACAGTTCCTCACTCATCCACGCGCCTCTTCCATGCGTCTCCTTCTCCTCGCTGCGCTGGCCGCCGCGCAGAGCGACACCGCGTCTCCTCTTACGACACGGCTTACACCCGTCTCGCTCACGCCGGTAGCCGGTCCAACCAGACCCCTCACGGTGACCGTGACGCTCCCGCCCGCGACGTAAGTGCCCCGAAAGCCGCAGCAGCTAACCCAGCTCAAGCACAGAATGTACGCTCCACACCCTTTCCACCTTCTAACCGCAGCACCCTCCGAACCCGCCGACCTCATCGGGGGCATCGTACGTCCCCTCCCCCCTCCGCTGACATGAGCTCGGCGCCGTCCTCGCGATCCACCTCGCGGCCGCCGCAGCCTGGTTCTACCTCTACCAGCGCCGCAAAGCACGTCTCGCGAAAGGGGGCGATATCGAGCTCCTCCCCGCCCCGGCCCCCGCCCCCGCCCAGCCCGATGAGATCCCGCCGCCCGCGCACCCCGCGCCCGCCGTGCCCCCTACGCTCGGGAAGCGGGACTCGCAAAGCTCGTCTAGTACGCTCGTGCAGGCGCGTGTGGGAAAGTGGTCGCGTGGTGGGCGCTCGAATGCGTCCGGGAAGGGGATGTAAAGTCAGCAGAAGGGGGGGGGAGTAGGGGGAGTAGGGGGAGTAGGGTGGATGGTTAGGAGTGCCGGGCGACGCCTTGTACTGCAAACGAGGAGGAGGGTATGTGAATCGCATGAGGTGTGCCTCCTGTCATATACGGGACCACAGAGGTGGAACAATGTTGTCGGCCATTGAACCCATTAACGCAGGCTTCCAGGCATGCTTCGATGATTCCGATGCAAGCTTCTCCATCCGTGTAGCCGTAGCGCCTTATTGCGCGGCGTGTCGAGCGAGACGAGCAAGACATGGCCGACATGGAGGAACATTCGCGAATCCCGCCGTTGTTATGGTTTCAGAGCGGCTGCTTCCCCGCCTCCCCGCATCCCTGCGTTCCCGCTTTCCCGTCCACGGCGCACGCCAGCGTCGGCAAGAGAACAGCCAGCGCAGTAAGACGTGCTCTGGGCCTAACGACCGCTGGGCGCCTCACATTATCGCATGCCGACTAAGACATCAAGGTCGCGTGGCGAAATGGCATCGCGTCTGACTACGATTAACATCCTCAATCAGGAGATCGCGGGTTCGACCCCCGTCGTGACCTAAGAGCCCAGCGCGGGCTGAGTACCCTTTTGGCTTTGGCGAGGGAGGAGAGTCTTTGCGAGGCTTGCGCATCATCATGGGAATGTCGTGCCGCTACAAGGGTGCAATCGATATCCGGCATCTGACGATGTAGCTTGATAATCGGCGTGAATGTGGCACAGAGCGTGGCCAGGCATATTGTTCCCACTTTTCGCCTTCTGCCGACGCCGTCTGCCCTTCCGGGGACGCAAACAGGATCTCTACAATAACCATTCAAGCGGGAGATGCGGATTGGCACAGTGGGGGGGTCTGATTCCCGCATTCTTGTTCAGCCTTGGACGTTATACCAATATCCGGGAAACGATCGCTCGCACATGTCCCTCGCTCCGCTTGCGCCGGGGCTTAAGCACAACCGATTGGGCAATGATGGTACGACTGGAGGGATCCTCATCGCGGTTCGTGAACTTGCACCTCGCATTCGTTCAGCGGCACACCATCAGGACATTTCCAGCTTGGCAGTTTCGTCGTTCGCCTCTTGACATCCTATAACCTCTGCATCCTCGTCTCCTGCCTCTCGCCTCTATTTCCTTCTGATTTCAACCTCGCTTCCACTGGTTCTTCGACAATGAAAGAGATCCTTCCAGCTATACATAATACTCCACTCGTTACCGCGTACCAACTGTGGCATTTCCAAAGCATGTCCGGTTTGATGCATACTTTGATGGGAATGAAGCTCAGTTCTCGGCTACCTTCAATCGCATCCCGGTGCGTAGAACGGGTTGCCGATCGCCCTCTCGCACGCACTCGCCTGTCTGGCATCCCAGTCAAGCGAGGGTGGTGGGTGAGAGGTCAGTCCATGGTCTGGGCCTCTGGGCAACTCACCTGTCGTCCTCCCGCCCTGCTGCCTACATTAAAGGCGGGCGCCACAGTTCGTGATAAACCCCAGCGGTCGGCAATGAAACTCAACGCTGAGATAACTACAGTGAGTAAGCCGGCGGCCGTAGAAGCGGCCAATGCCGGTGCCAAGATGCAGTCTCGCGATGATATTTTGATCAGTGAATGTTGTGGACGCAGATAGAGCGCGTCGGCACGCGTCGCGAAATGGCCGGCCGGGACCGGCCGAGATGGAATGTTGCTCGCTGGTTGCTGGATCGGGTTTACCCGCGTATCCGACACGACAATCGCTGCAAAGCATGCAGAGTCAAAGCTTGCCGGCCTCCTGCATCGCGACGCGATCATTGGGCAGACGCGCACATGCATGTCCGCGATTGGACGCGTTCCCGAAGCCGCGCAATGCCGTGCCGGTGCCGTGGTCGCGCCGTGCTGGTCGGCGGAGATGCAGCGGCGCGGCGTCCAGGCCTTGCTGGGGTGGAGGTAGACGGCCGGGCGATAGTGCGGGGCATCGAGTGCTTGGTGAGAGGCGTTCTCGGGAGCGGCGACGTCCCCGAGCTCTGTTTTGATGTTCTGCATCTCGACGCTCTTCATCTTAAACGTTAAACGGACATCGAAGACAGCTGTTCTCGCTTGCTCGCTACTTTGTCGTTCACTGCACTTGCCTGCGACATATCTCGGCGTCTACATCTCGGTCTCGGTGGGCAAGCCTCGGCCAGTCACGGCCCACATTCCGCCCCGCCGAAACATCAACAACTTTGCAACCTTGTTCCTCCTCGACTATCCACAGCCCACTCGTGGCCCCCATGACAGTCGTTAAGCGGCCATTGCCAGCTGGAAAGCGCACAAGCAGCAAGCAATCATGCGTGACAAGCCCTCCTCGGCGCAAGGCGTCGCTTCCGAGCTCTGGAACACATAACGGCCCCACCTCCCGACCCCTTCTCACTCTGGACCACACCGCGTTCCCACACATCATGGACGGGATCCTTACGCACGCGACGCACGGCACGCTCCTCTCCCTCCGTGCCGCATCGCGCGCCTGGCGCGCCCGTGTCGACGCGGTCCTGCACAAGCACGTCTCGATCGCGACGGACCACATCCCGCGCGCCGGTTCCTCCGGCTCCGGCTCCGGCACGCTGCCGCTGCACGCAGCCTACGCCGCGCCCGTCGACACGCTCGACCTCCTCAACCTCACCCCGCCGGGCTTTACGCCTCCGACGTCCCCTTCCATCCCCTTCTCGCGACGGCCGGTGCGTTCTCTCCCCTTCCCACCCCTCCCGCCCTCGGTCAACACGCTGCGCATCATCGGTGACCTGGACTGGGCGCGCATCGGCCCCCGCCTCCCGTCGTGCGCCACGCTCGTCGTCCTCGCCCCGCTCCCGCTCATCGAGCCCTCGATCTACACCCCGCGCTTGAGCACGCCGCGCGGGCTGGCGGACTCGGCCGCGTGCGCGGCCTATCTCGCGCGCTGCCCGCGCCTCGTCCTCCCCCTCTCGGCCCTGCGCGGCGCCAGCGTCTACATGCTCGCAGACGTGCTGCGTGCGCGCAAAGTCGTCCTCCTCGCCGACGACGGCGAGTGGCGCGACGCCCTCGCTGCCCTCTGCTGTCTCCTCGGCGCGGTGCTGCTCAACCGCGCGACCGACACGCGCTTCACCCTCGTCAACGTGCTCGAGGCCGGCACGGCGTGGCGCCGCACAGCGACGCTGGTGCCACAAGGAGATGCTGTGGACGTGCCCTCGGACGTGTGTTGGGACGAAGAGGGGTTCTGGGCCGACGGAATGGGGCTCTTCCGCCTCGCGGGGCACGAGTTTGCGCACTCGGACGCAGAGGTGCGCGCGCGCATGGAGAAGAGCGTCGAGTTCCTCAGCTCGCACGAGTACGAGGCGCGGGTCGGGGACGAGGTGCGCGTGGTGCTGTAGCTTGTAGTTGTATAATGATATGGGTCCTAGTGCAGGTCAAGCACGCAGGCGTTGCGTGCTTCGGCAATGGCCGATGGTTGCCGACGAGCCGACACGAGTCATTGACTGTTGCTCGCCGGCAGATGGGGCAGAGCCAGCGCTACAGTCGAGTGTGCGGCGCGTACGGCGCGTGTATGCATGAGTGCCGGCCCCGTGCTGGACAGCGAGGTCCAGTACGCGCGGTTGAGTCGGCGCTCGCAGAGGTTGGTTGACAACTCTCACGGCGCATACCGCCCAACCCACCTCCACTTTCCATCGCCCACCTGATCGTCCATCCACTCTCTCTTACTTCTTGTCTCTACTCCACCGTCCCATCTCACCATGTCCCCTCCCACCGCCGAGCTCGCTGGCCTCTCCATCTCCTCCAAGAAGACCGGGCCGGGCGGCAAGCCGCTAGTCAACGCCGCCGTCGTCGGCGAGTGGCATGACGCCAAAGCCGCATACACCGGGCCCAAGCTGAGCCGGCGGACGTGGGAGAACGAGCACTTTGCCGGCTCCGAGGGCCTTGATTTTGTGTTCCGCATCAGTGGGTGGTGCAGCGGCCGCGCTGATCGCAGCGTACGATGACGAAGCGAACCCCTCAGGCATGATCAATCTGTGCGCGGACACAGCCGCCGGACTCGCGGGTCGCTGACGCCAGGGGCATGGCCGAGAACACCATGCTCACGAAGGACTATCTTGAGGTGCGGAGGCGCTGGGCGAGCTGACGGCAGTATTATGCCAAGGTGTTTTCAAAGGCGCTCCGGCCAAACGACTTTACGTATGGCACACAGGCCAGCGCGAGCAAGCGCTTCCACACGGCGGTCGCGGACATGTGGAACGAGTGCGTGGGGTCGTCCGGCGCCTCGAGGTGTACTCGTGCAGCGTGCTGATAGCAGGAACTTTACCCCGCTAACTCCCGTGCAGCCGGACGACATTGCGACGGCGCCTGGGGCTACTGGTGCTTTGGACCAGCTGTTCAGCGTACTCGGTGACGCAGGGGATGCTGTTCTCATTGCTGCGCCTCAGTGAGTCTAACTCGCGGGCCCTTCCTCAGGCTTCTCGAGGGGCCTGGTGATACGGACTCCATCTGAGGAGGGGGGGACAACGCAGCGTAGCATGCTCACCCCAGCTACAATGGCTTCGACGCCAACATGGTCGTGCGCTCCGGCGCGCGCATCGTTCATGTATACGGCCCAGAGCCCGACATCGCGTTCACCACCCCCGGCGCCGAGATCGCCGCGTTTGAGAAGGCCATGGAGGACTGCAAGGCGAAGGGCATTAACGTCCGGGCCGTCGTGAGTGCTGCAAGCTCGCTCTACATGACTGCGACTGGGCTGACTGCAGCTCCTCTGCTCTCCCCAAAACCCATGGGGTCGGACGTACTCGAAGGAAGTACTGCTCGACTATGCACTCTTCGCGGAGAAGCACGACATCCACCTCATCTCGGACGAGATCTATGCCCTAAGCGTGTGGGATAATCCGAGTGCGTATCGGGCGGCGGTTGAAGCTGACGGCAGAAATCCCCAACTCGCCACCGTTCATCTCCATGCTCTCGCTCGACGTCGAGAAGGAGACAGGGAAGAGATTTGACAAGTCGAGGTTGCACAGTGAGGCTCTCCCTTGAGACGATTGCTGATCGCAGTCGTATACAGCTTCAGCAAGGAGTGAGGGCAGCGATAGTCTCGTGCTGACGCCAGCTTCGGGTGCAACGGCTTCCGCCTCGGCGTCATAATCAGCCAGCACAACCCGCTTGTGATCCGTGGATTGCTGCACATCAGCTTCGTCGCGAAGCGTGAGTCGATGCAGTGAACATCTGACAGTAGTCGGATCCATTGGCGACGCGCTGATATCCCACCTGATCAACGACAAGCCGACGTTCAAGGAGCTTGTGGCCAAGAATGTTGACGCGCTGCGCGACTCGTCGGAGAAAATGGCCGCGTTCTGCGAGAAGCAGGGCTGGAAGCCAGTGCCGGTCAACTCTGGACACTTCATGATGGTGGACGCAAGCAACCTCGGATTCAAGACGATGGAGGAGGAGAAAGACTTTGGGCGGCACTGCATCGAGTTTGGTGTTGGAGTGGTGGGTGGGGGGGTGGGGTGAGCTGACAGCAGGGGCTGGGGCAGTCGTACCACGCTCGGACGCCAGGATGGCTGCGCCTTACGCACACGTATGCTCCAGACAGGCTGGATCTTGCGCTGGAGAGGCTGGGCAAGGCTGTGGAGGCTTGGCGGTCGCGAGGGCTTAGGGAGTAGTGCAAGAGATGGATTCAGTAATGCTAGCAAGGCGGGAGCTGTTCTTGCCTCATGCTGATGGATCTGCTGCGCGCACAAGCCACACTGATGAGTTCCTCGACTGGGTAAAGTCGCTCGCCCATCCAAGTTCACACCGTCGCCTTCTGATAGATACAAGCTACAGCGCGACCTACAGCCGCGCGGGCGTCCCGTCCGCCTTGCGGATCCGCACGACAGCCTTCCCAAACACCTTGCGCGTCTCGAGATCCACCAAGCCCTCCGTGAGCTCCTCAAGGCCCTCATACACGCGCTCGTGCAGCACGGGCGTCACCTTGCCGCCGGCGACCATGTCGAAGCACGCCTCGATGGTCTTGGCGTATCGCTTGGGATCGCGCACGCTCGTCTCGCCGCCGCGCACGCCGAGCACCTCGACGTTTTTGAGCAGCACGAGGTTGGCGGGCACCTTTTCGATGGTGCCGCCCGCAAAGCCGACGACGAGCAGGCGCGCGTTCCACGCCACGACCTTGAGGCTGGGCACGAGCAGCCCGACGGGGTCGTACACGATGTCGACGCCGCGCTGGCCCGTGAGGCGCTTCACCTCGTCTTGCCACCCCGGGAGGGTGTAGTCGAGGACGTAGTCGCAGCCAGCGGCGCGCGCGACGGCGCGCTTCTTCTCCGTGCTCGCCGTGCCGATGACGCGGCACCCAAGGCCTGGCGTGAGTCTCTCGTCTCTTCTCCCCCCCTTCTCCTCCCTCTTCCCTCTCCCAACTCACCCTTGGCAATCTGCACCGCCGCGACGCCAACCCCGCCCGCGGCCGCATGGATCAGCACCCATTCACCAGCACGCGCGCGCCCGCGCCCCACGATCGCCTCGTAGCTCGTGGGATAGGCGACGTAGAACGCCGCGCCCTGCTCGTAGCTCATGCTCTCGGGGAGCGGGAGGAGGTTGGCGGGCAGCGCGACGTTCTGCTCGGCGTACGCGCCGAGCCCGCGCCCGATCACCCGGTCCCCGCGCTTGAACCGGCACCCGGGGGGGATGGGGGAGGACGCGGCGATGCGGCCCGCGAACTCGACGCCGAGCGTGAACGGGAGAGGGGGTTTGTCTGGGGTCAGCGGAGAGGCAGGGTGGGAGAGACCCACGCTGGTACAGGTTCTGCGCTTGGAGCACGTCGAAGAAGTTGAGCCCCGCGGCATATACGTCCACGAGCACCTGCCCGGGGCCGGGGACGGGCGGGGGGATGTCCGAGCTGGCGTGAGCGGCACCGTCTCACACGCACACTGCATGCTCGCGCGGGTGGGCGTGGTACTTGATCTGGAAAGCCTTCATGGTGGTTGACGGACGTCGAGGCGGTGGGCGGCGTGATATGGGCCTCGCGCGGTGACATGTTCGGTCATGTCCGGCCCGGCCGGTTATCATCACGAAACGCAGGGCCGACATGAGTGTCGCACCACGCCGACACACCACGGCGCCTTGGCATGGCAGAGATTACATACATGGTTGAAACACACATACCTACACACAGATAGATAACAGACAGACGGCATGTTGATGGACGTTGCAGCTCGCCACTAACGTATTCGGGTATAACTCACCGCAGGCGGAAAGTCGCCGTTCGTGACCAGCGCGAACGGCGGGGCTCGATGGCGCACGGAGTACGCGACGGGCTCGAGCTCGCACAAATGAGGCTCCAGTGATGGCCTGAACTGGAGGGCGCGAGTGGTAATGATGCGGCCTCGGAAGTTGGCGACGGACAGCGGCTATGCCTCCAAAATTCGGTCACGCATCCCACTCCTCTGCGTCCCACCCAGTCAGAGTAGTCGAAGCGGGCGTTAAAGCGAATGACCCAACCTGGGATTGTATTTGGCGCCATCCCCTACGTGCAGCGCGTAGGCGGATGGGTACCCATTGCAATGATGGAAATGAGTAGGGTATGCAAGGTCGTAATGGCACGCTCGCGCTTGAAAAGCCTGAAGGTCCAAACACCCGAGACTCGGAGCGGTGACTATTCTGGTCCCGGCTTGCGGTTGATGCCAGCGTCATGGATGGGGTGCAATGCATGAGTGAGGCGAGCGGCGGCGGCGAGCGGCGGCATGCACCAAGGAGCGGCCAACGAGGAGAGACCGAGCAGGGCCGAAGTTCATCCGAGATACGGCTGCCGCGGACTCAGTCACCTCGGCCGACGCAGGCGCCTACCAGCGCGACAAGAGGTCGTACTTGCTGTCGCCCAAGACGGCGCGGTACTGCTCCGCAGACATAAACTTGAGCTTGCGCTTGACCTTTGCGACCTTTTCGCGGTCCCTCGGCCGCGGTGCAATGTCGTGTGCTGCCTCGAGAATGACGGTGCGCAGCGAGTTGCGCATCTGCCGCTCGTTCCACGTGCCCGCGTGCTCGTTCCATGACTTTGCCCATGCTTCGCCCTCGACGAGGATCACCTCGAGGACGCCTGGGCGCAGCGCGGCCTGCGCGATCGAGCGCACCATGTGCCCGGCGTAGATGCTGTCGACGGCGGGCAGGGCGCCGTCCTGCACGCGCTGGAAGACGTATGCGCACGCCGTCTTGTCCGCGACGCCCGACTTTCCCGTCGCGTTGCTGCACCACAGCAGCGGCGTCGTGGTCGTGTAGTACACGGGCGACGCGATGATTGTGCAATCGGCGCGCGGGTACTGTGCCATGACGGGATGGCCTGTGCGGTGCATCCTGACGACAATGCTCGGCCGGCCGAGCAGGCCGGCGTGGTCGAGCGTTGCGCTGTCGGGATCCATGTTGCGGAGGTATGAGCCACGGAAGCGCGCGACAGCGACGTTGGGGAGGCGCCGCAGCTCCTCGACCTCGCCGAGGTCCCAGACGCCGTCGGCCCGGTCAATGTCCACAACGCGCACTGCTTCGGCGAGATGCTCATCGAGACTCCAGTCTGTGCGCGGCATGCGGCCGAGTACGGAGCGTACGGGAGAAGGAGGCGTGGCTAGCGTGCCGAGCAGGCGGCCGATGAGGCTCGTGCTCGCTGGCGCGCGGACGACAATGTGGTGGAGCAGGACTTCGTCGACCTGGTCGCGCAGCTCGGAGCATGTGGCGCGGAGGACGAGGAGGCTGTCGTACGGGGCGTGCTTGAAGACAGTCTCGAAGATGTGGGGGTAGGCTGTGCGGTCGAGCTTTGAAGGGAGGGGGTCGCGTGGAGCGGGGGCGCGAGGGGGGGAGAGGGAGAGAATGGCGGGCGGGGTGGGGAAGCGGAAGGAGCGGATGGTGAGGTCGTCGAGGGAGAGCTTGTCCATCCTTCCGTCTAGGAGGGAGCCTCTGCGTGGGATGATTGATGGGAGAGAGGACATGGGAGATGAGAAGAGATGAGGAAATACGAGGTGGTGGGTGAACGTGGGCGGGGATCAATTCACCGCACGTCGTCAGGGACACCAAAGTCGTTGGGTGGCAAACTCCGTCATCAACTAAGCGCCGCTCACTCTCTGCAGCGCCGAGGCGAGTTGACGCGGCGTCGAGGTGGCTCCGATGTTCAGAGATTGCGCGAGCTGTGCGTAGGTTCAGCATTGCCGCCATCAGAAGATTATCCAGCTGCGTTACTCGACGCCGGAGATCATCGCCGCCGTTGCGTGTGCCTGGCCGACGATGACGCTCCGACGGAGACCTGTCAATGCTCGGCGCACACCACATCCAACTCCTACAAGCGGCCTCAGCCCGAAGGCCGATGCGAAGCAAGCAGCCCAGATGTGCTCGGCCGTCGGCCGTGCACATTTCCTCTGTCTCCTCTTTCCCTCTCTCCTCCTCTCTCCCTCTCCCGTCTCTCCCTCCATCTCCCCTCTCCCTCCCCCTACTCCATGTCCACCCCCGCCCCCATAGCCCAATACCGCGCGCAAATCATGAAAGACGGCCTCGCCCCCGCACTCCTCTGGCACGCGCCGGACGCAGCCACGCGCCTGCGGATCCATGCGATTGCGAGCCGGATCGAGCCCGATCTCGTGCTCGACCCGGCGTATACGGGCCTCCTGCAGCGCGAGATGGGGTTACGGGAGCTGAGCGAGGGCGTCGAGGCGTTGCTTGTGGCGCGGGAGGCGGTGAGTGGGGTGGGGGAAGTGGGGAGAGAGGAAAGAGGATGAAGGAGGGAGACGGAGAGGGAGAGGGGGAGGGAGAGGGAGGCTGATACTCAGGCGCGAACCGCGGGCGTTTCCGAGACCTCTGAGCCCGACGCCGCCGCCGCCGCCGCCAAGCCCCGTTCATTGTTCGCGCGGCTGTTGTGTATGGCATAGAAGCGAGTTGACATGTCAAATGCATAGTTCTACAGAATGCACGGGGGGGTTTTGGCATGAAATGCCCAATGTCAAGTCATGGTCGTGTGACCCGATACTACGTCTCAGCTCTGCTTCCACCCACACTCACGACAGCGCGCTAGTTGTCCGGGCGCGTGATGACGATGATTGGCACGGTAATGGTCGTGGGCGCGGTGTTGGTCACGTTGGCGGTGGGGGTGTTGTCGGCCATGGTGGAATTAGTGGATATCGTGCTGATTGTAGGTGGGCAAGAGGGCAGCTCGGCAGCGTCGAGGGCTGTGATATACAACGTCCGCATGCTGATGAGAAGCATGCACCAGTCGCTCCGTGATGTTAATTTGTGTAATGGCGCGCAACGCACTCATTACGGTGCGGACCAACGTTGCCCCGAACGTTGTTTGGTTCCTTGCCCCCGTCACGCCACCGCCACCCTCCCATCAGAAACACATTTCCGTGGCGTACGCCGCGCCCACTTCGTCCGCGTACTCCTCGAGTGAGAAGAAGCGGATGATCTTATGTGCGGCATCAAGCATCTCCTCGCGCGCGGCCTCGGGATGCTTGGCCTCGTACCGGCGCCATAGCCGCCACTCTGTGGCGCGCCGCCCCGCGCCCTCCCAGTCGTGCCGCGCGCGGCCCGAGTTGACAATGTCGATCCGCAACCCCCGGCGTCCGTGGAGGTGTGGCCATGCGGCGTCTGCCGCCGCGAGCGGGTCGCTCGTCATGCTGTCCGACAAGCCGCGGGCGGCGGCGAGGCCGAGCGCGTATCCCCCGCCCTCGTCCTCGTCTGTTTGGCTGGGGTGGCTCTGCGGCTCGTGCGAGAAGACGAGGACGAGCTCAGTCGCCCGCCCAAACTTGAGTATCACGCCGAGGTCGGCGAACAGCCGCTCGGGCCAGGCCGAGGGGATGTGGGCGACGATGCGTGTGCGCACCTGTTTCCGGAGGAGGTCGAAGTGGCCGGCACGCAAGGCGCCTACGGGGAGCACGACGGTGTCGACCTCAAACAGACCGTGCTCCCAGTAGTCGAGGACGCGGGCGATGCGGGCGGTGCGGAGGCTGCGGAAACGCGTAGCGGGGGCCAGGCGCGAGGGCTGTACCGGCTGGTGCGGAGGGAGGGGGGCAATGTCGAGGGTGCGCACGGCGTGGGTGAGGGGTGTAGAAAGCCAGTCGGGGGCTGGGACGCGGAGTGTAGGTGCAGACACCGCAAAGGAGGTTTCGTGGGGTGAGGGAGAGGGGATAAGGAAGGAGACGCCGTCGAAACGGAGGTGGGAGACGAGGAGGGCGTCGGCGCGAGCACGCCAGGAGGAGCAGGCGGTGCGAAGGGAGAGGAGGGCAAGAGGGGGTGCGGCGGCAAAGATTGCGTCTATGATGTGTGGGAAGGAGTCCGCTGGAAGTAGCGTTGTGCGGGTGGCGGCAGTGATGGTGGGCATGGCGGAGGTGGGTGCAAGAGGGGCTGGTGGCGAGGGGAGTAGAGTTGATAGAGATGACGAGGACGACGAGGACGACGACGACGACGACAAGAACAAGATGTGCGACATGCACGAGATGGGCAGAAGCGACCGCGTCCCACGGGGAGGTGCACGGATCTTTTGTAATGGCCATTATAAACAATCCCCTCGATCACTCTTGCGGAATGTAACTTTGTTAATCAGTGGCAAATACAAATATCATCAAGATTCAAATCTAATCCAAATCCACATGACTCGGCGCTCGTCTCGCCGCTACATCTTACTCGCTCGTCGCTCTCATCCCATCCCCCCATGGCCCCGTGCCTCTCCGCGTCGAGCTACTCGGCATCGCTGTCGTCATCACTGTTGTCGTCATCATGCAACTACGGAACTACGACTACACATACGCAGGCCTCCTCGCCCCCCCCCCCCCCCCCCCCCAATCTATCAAAGCTCGAAGGCTCTCCAAGGCTGAGGCTCAAGTATCGAACGTGGATGCGCAACACTCCGCCCTGTGTCGACAGGAGGAAGCACCTTGTATCGGTCCAGCAGCCACGCAGACCCAATCCGACGCGGTGTAAACTTCTCGCGCGCACTGTCCTTGGCCCCCACCCTCGCCGCGTACTGTTTACACGTTACAAAGTCGAGGTAGTGCCCAAACGCTGCCTTGACAGCCGCCGCATCGCCCCGCCCAAGGCCTGTGGCACCAAGAAAGCAGGCGACCATGTCCCGCCTCTCGCTCTTCCTTGGTCCGCTTTTGTCGAGGGCGACTGCGAGCCATGGAAGTGCGTTCACGAGTGTCATCTTGAGGCGGACCGGCGCGCGCCCTTGCCCCCTCAGCTTCCAGCAAATCACACGGATGGGGATGAGCAAGTCGAGTTCAAAGCGGGGATCGCGGGAAGTCGTCCTTGGGAACAAAAATACGACCTCGGTCACGGTACATGAGGGATCAGCGAGGGCACTGCCTATGTGGTCCCATACATCATTACGCGGGTTGTCCGTAGCGTATTGAATAACGAGGCGGGTTGTGCGAGAGAGGTGATTCTTCCAAGATTGGCAAGCACCAGATGAGTGTTGAATGGTAGCGGCGGAGAGGACGAGGGTGTGCGAGCGCGGTAGTGTCATCTTGCCTAATCCCTCAACGGCGCCAGTGCGTAACATGTAAACCTGGCTGGGGAGGGGGCAGGGATTGCGGCCGTCAATGTCGACGAGATCGAGGAGTTGTGGGCGGAATTCGGTCCAATGGGCACAGACTGGCCCGCCGTTGGGCAGGATGGGTTCACAGTCACGTTGAACGACAACGTGCGCAAGAAGGTACGAGTCGGCGCGTTCGCGCCATGTTGAACAGGCCGTGCGGAGAGCGGTGAGAGCTGCGCGGGAGGCCGAGTCAAAGATGAGGTCGATGATGTGTGGGAAGGCATCTGCGGGGATGGTGACTGTGGGCTGGAGAGGAGAGTGGGTAGCCGGGGAGTCTGAAAGACGGACGCTTGCGAGAGAGTTTGCGAGAGTGATAGCAGCTATCGGGGGTGAGCTGCACCAAGTGATGATGGGGGGCGTGGATGGCCTAGAGGTGTGGGCCGGGGTCATGATGTCGCGTTGGATTGAGCACACTGTGAGCGATGGTGGGGAGCGATGGAGAAGAGAAAGAGAGAGAGAGGAGAGGAGATATAAATATGGAGAGATGTAGAAGGGGAGAGAGAAAGATGAAGTGGATTGAATTGAATCGAGTTGGGCGTGTTGTTGACAGCAGCTTGAGGAAAGGTCGGCGGTTGAATCACCACTCCTCGATCCTCCCTCTCCTCCGTCATCCTCCATCCACTTTACTCTTCTTCTTTCACTTCATCACCGCCTTGTCGATATCTGCGACAAGATACGCTTCGCAGCGGTCTCTGGTCCACTCGCAACTAGTTCCGCACGCCTTGTAACTGCGGCGACGTGGGTGGACACGGCGTGTGATGCTCCTGAGCTGAGTCTAGCTGCACCAACAAGCCCCTCGCACTCAAACAACTCAAGCCCGGCGTCCAACCACCGCCTGCATCTTTGTCGCTCCGAGACGCTGCGTTAGCACGATTCAACCAACGAAGGCTGAGTTGATCGCATTCCGCACCAGACAGGGAGCACCACGGCCTAAAATGATTGGGTGTTGACATTGACGTCGCGTCCCTCTCATTCAATGTCGTGTCTCACAAAACAACGCTGCGCTTTGCCACGCCATCTTGGTTTGTCGTGGCGAGTGCGCCGTACGCCGACCGAGTCGGTTGGGTGTCAGCCAGCACCAAGGTGCAATGCGTCATTCCCACGCCTCTATCAATTCACGCTACAACCGCGCCTCGTCCACGCCTTCCACAGCATCATACACTGTCCGCTCATACGAAGCGTACACACCCGCCCATATCTTCTCGTGATCGTTCATGAGCTGCGTCGCGCACAATCCCTGGTGTCAGACCATCCCGTTGACACACTCACAATCAGACCCGACGCCGGGTCGATCCAGTACTCGCTGCGCGCCGCGCCGAACCAGAATCCGCTGCCCGCCTTGCGCCCGTTCGCGCTCGGAGCAAGGTTCAAACACAGCCCGGGCGAGAATCCCACCGCGCGGCCCGACGTGTACTGCTCCTCGCCGTATCCGCGGAACTTGAGGAACGCGCCGAGTGCGGCGTGGCAGTCGCGCGTCCCGTCGTCGGGCGGGAGCGCGTCCGTAAAGAGCTCGCGGAACCCGGCGCGCGACACGATCCCGTCTTCGTCCTTACACCGCAATAGCGCCTGCAGGAACGTGAGGTACTCCCTCGCGGTGCCGAGGAGGCCGCCGCCGCCAGCCTGCTGCACGATATCGGCGGGCGTCATCGCGCTCACCTCGCGCAGCTTGACGGTGTGCACGAGCGCGCCGTCGCGCGTGCGCGTGCACATCTGCATCAGGCGCGCCTTGATGTCCTCGGTCGGGAGGAACGTGATGCCCGTGATGCCGAGCGGCGCCCAGATGTGCTCGCGGAAATATTCGTCCAACGTGGTGCCCGTCACGCGCTCAAGCAGGATGCCCGCCCAATCGATACCGAGGCCGTACACGAACGACGTGCCCGGCTGGATGTTCAGTGGCGTGGCGAAGGACGCGGCAGTCGCGCCCGGCGCAACCCAGCGCACGGGCAGGTTCTCGCGCTCCCAACGCAGCTGCGCGCGGTTCCCGTACGCCTGGCCCACCGTGTGCGTCAGCAGGCGCCGCAGCGTGATCGGCTCTGTACGCGGCGTGTACTGCGGTGTGTCGCCGTCGTAGCCCAGCAAGACGGGCATCGCGCACAGATCCGGCAGCACGCGCTCGCACAGCTCCGCGTCGTCGTAGTCTACCATCCCCCGCTCTTTAAGCTGTAGGCACGCGACAGAGGTCACGAGCTTGGTCATGCTCCACATCTCGATGGCTGGCGTGAGAGGTGGAGAAAGCCACACCCACCAGTATCTTCGTTCACCATGCCGCGCTCCGGTGCCCCAAGCACCTTCTCGCCCGCACAGTTGAAGTATAGCACGTCGTCTTTCGACGCGACGCCGACGAAGAGGGCCGGGGCGACGCGCGCCGCCGTCGTCTCCGCGAGCCACTTGTCGAGCGCCGCGCGGCCGGGCGTACTCAGGCGGGGGGAGGGCATGGCTGTTGCTGTTGCTGTGCTGAAGCGCACGGGGCGGGGCAGACCGAGGGGGAGGCGGAGGCGAACGCGGAGAGCGTGCAGAGATGCCATCTGTGATATGGGTAGAGGTGAGTGTCTGGAGCGAGGCACGCCCACCGGCATGTGCTCGGGGATAGCCGAAATCTCGGTAAGCGGGCATGGCCGCCGACGAACACGCCGAGATGCCCTCCGCTACCGCGGCCGTGGACGGACTCTGAGGCCAGATGCATGGTGAGTACAGGCGGGGTAGCGCTTGGGCAACCGAGGGCCTATACTTCACTTTGACGTCGCTCACCGATCTCTTGCTCGCTCTGGCTCTGCAGACATCCCGCAATTCCAGCCGCGGCAGTGGCCATAGCCCACCTCACCGTGTGCATGCTCTCGCAAGCGCTCCCGCAAAAGACAGGTGCAGGCAAACGCAGGACGCGCAGTGTGAGACCCCAACGTTCAGGGCCACAACATGGCGCCGAGCGACGAGTCCAGACCGGTCCGCGCTCAGCCAGGTCAAACGGCGAGGTCAAATGCTGGCAGAGGTCAAATCCGGCGCCGGGAGCAAGCATCCGCGCCGCCGCTTCGCCCGTGCCTGTTCTCCATCTCGAAGCCGTCTGCCGCCTGCCGTGCATGCCGCATTGAGATCCGGCACCAGACTGGTCAGAGGGGGCTCCGACATATTTGGCGTTCCAAGCGAAATTCGCCCTCGTGGCGCTCGAGATTAGGAGTCAGGCTGACGGCGTTGGCAGATATCAGTGGCAGAGGGCAGATGCTCCATTGGCATATTCTGCATACGCTGTTGGCATATCGTTGGACATGTTGGAATATGGACCACTGACACGGCTACGTGGCTACTGATATATGACTGACAGCAAAGATCATTGCTACAGCCACAACCATGCACGTCGCCGCGCTCATCATGCAGCGGGATGGGGCCGCCGAGCCCGCCGTCCGCGCCGAGCCTCTCCTCCCAGCCGTCTCCGAGCTCACACTCTGCCCCTCGCGCCCAAAACTCGAGACAGTTCACGAACCACACGACCCAGTTATTCACGACTTCGCCCCGCACCGCCCCACCTCCCCCGCGCCCACCGTCTCGCTTGATTGCGAGGCGCTCGCGCGCACACAAACACACCCCGGCCCTTTCCCCGACCTCCAGCTCGCCACCATTCCCACACGCCTTGAAGAGGACACATACGGCCCGCCACCAGACGGAGGGCGCGAGGCGTGGCTTGCAGTTCTTTCCGGCGCCCTCCTGTTCTTCACTATGTTCGGGTTTGGTGCGTCCCTCTCCCTCCGTCCCCACTCACGCCAGTCACCTCCTTCGGCCAACTCAAAGGCTACTACCTCACCCACCAGCTCGCGTCCTATTCACAGCCGGCCATCGCATGGATTGGCACCCTCCAATCAACCCTCACCTTCTTCCCCTCCCTCTTCTTCGGCCGCCTCTTCGACGCCCACGGCCCGCGTCTCCTCGTGATCGCCGGAACGAGCCTGTCTTTCGCCGCTCTCCTTGCCCTCTCCTTCTGCACGGCCTACCCGCACTTTCTCCTTGCGCACGCCCTCTTCGGCTTCGCCACATCCATGATCTGGGGTCCCTCCGCCTCCGTCTGCGGCCACTGGTTCGCTCGCCGCCGCGCCACCGCCATTGGCATCGTCGGCTGCGGCAGCGGTTTTGGCGGCATCATATACCCACTCCTCCTCAAGGCGCTGCTCGACCGCCTGCCCTTCCGCCCCGCCCTCCTAATTGTCGCAGGCATGAACGCCGTCCTCATGCTCCCAGCATGGCTGTGGCTGCGCGCGCGCCTGCCCCCGCGCCGCCCGGCGCCATGGCCCGCCCTTGCGAGCCCATGGCGCTCACGCGCCTTCACCTTCCTCGCGCTCGGCGCCGCCCTCTCCATGCTCAACATGTTCACGCCCTACTTCGACGCGCCGGCCATAGCCCCCGCTCCGCTGCGCGAGTACGCCATCGCCATCCTGCAAGCGGGCAGTTTCGCGGGGCGCGCGACCAGCGGCGTCATCGCGGACAGATACGGCGCGTGGCGCGTGTACGTCGCCCTCGCACTTCTCACCTCCGCCACGCTGTTTGCGTTCTGGTGCGCCACGCCCATGCCTACCGCCGCGGCGGTAGCTGGGCTGTGCGGGTACGGCTTCGCGTCCGGCGCGTGGATCACCCTCGTGAGTGCGGTCACGGCGGCGATCGCGCCGCCCGAGGAGCTCGGGACGTGGATCGGCGTCTTGTGGACCGCTATCAGTCTGCCCATCCTCGCGGGGCCCGTCATCAGCGGCGTCCTGATTGAAAAGGCAGGAGGCGCGTTCACGTACGCCGGCGTGTTTTGCGGCGCGACGTATCTCGTGGGCACCGGGCTGACTGTGATGCCGTGGGTGCTCGGGAGAGTTGCGAGTCGCCAAAAGGAGAACGACGAGGAGCAGGAAAAGCCAGAAACTGCGCACCAGGAGGAGAGGTAGTTCGTTGGAGGCGTTGCTGCACATCGGCTTTCGTCGTCATCAGGACGGCGTGAGGTCCAGGCGTCCGCTGTGTGTGGGTCCAATCAGGAGGAGGTCACGGGGCCACGCTGCAGTACCCGAGTATCATCCCGCACCTGGGCCCCAGTCGGGTCTCGGACACGGAGCTCGGAGCCTACGCCCTCCCTCGCTCCTCTCCCGCATCTATTCTCGTCTGACGAGGCGTGAGGATGCTGAGCAAGCCGCGTATGCGGACATGTGCGGAGCTGGCTGGACCGTGTCACCACCAGGATAATTTCCGGTTACATTCATCCGCCGATCTTTAATAACAGCTTGATCCTGGTTGGCGTCAACAAATGCCACAAGGTCCACCGCCTCCTTGACATCTTCGCATCGCCACACTGTCCCGTACACTCCGCGTCATCGCTGCTCTTGGCCTCGTCTTCGCTCTCACCGTCGCTGTCTTCCTCCCCACCTTCTCCTCTTTCCCTCCCCATCTCTCCACCCACACCTCCACAATGTCCGCGGCAAGAACCGCCGCGAACGGCACCAAGGCCGCCGCGGCCCTCGGCCCGAACTGGGTCAACGACGTCCTCGGCCTCTGGTACGGCGTCTGGGGGCCTAAAGAGTGGTTCATGGGCGGCGCGCCCGTGGACGAGAAGTGCCGCGAACACCTGATCGACATCTGGCACTGCCTCTCGTCGGCGCCCGCGCCGCCGAACCCCGACCCGGCCAACATCGCGTCCTACTGCGGCGCGACGCCGCGCGAGTGCTTCACGGACGGGCGTGCGGCGCTCGCCGGCGTGATCGTGTACGATCAAGCGCCGCGCAACATGTTCCGCGCGACGCCGCGCGCGTTTGAGACGGACGCGCACGCCCTCGCGCTCAGCAAGTATGCCGTGGCGAAGGGGCTCGACACCGCGCTCAAGGCCGAGGAGAAGATGTTCCTCTACATGCCGTACATGCACTCGGAGGCGCTCGCGGACCAGGACGCGGCGGTCGAGCTCTTCCGTCGCCTCGGCGGGCCGATGCAGGCTGAGGCGGACCGGTTTGCCGTCGAGCACCGCGATATCATTGCCAAGTACGGGCGCTTTCCGCACCGCAACGCCGTGCTCGGGCGCCAGAGCACGCCCGAAGAGATCGAGTTCATCAAGGAGCATCCTGGGTTTGGGCAGTGACGCGCGTGGCGTGCCCCAGCCGAGCTCACTCCGAACAGCGCCCGAGGCGGGCGCTGACGAGTTGGCAAACGCCATGTCGCCTTTGCCGTAACATTACCACATTTACTGTACATGCGGACTATGTATGTGTACAGAGTCTAGAGCTCGGCGAAGCACTGGTCGACGCTCTTCTTGACCATCGCGACCATCTTGTCCGCCTCCTCGGGCGTGATAGTGTATGCGGGCGCGAGGATGATGCAGTCGCCATTAACGCCGTCGACGGTGCCGACGCCGGCGAGCGCCATAAGCCCGTTCTTCATCGCGCGGTCCTTGACGCGCGCGCCGAACCGCGGCGCCAGCGACGCCGGCACATCAAAGTCGACGGCGAGGAACAGCCCCTGCCCGCGCACTTCGAACACGCGCTTGTCGTCCGCAAACGCCGCGCGCAAGCCCTCGAGGAGCTGCGTGCCGCGCGCACGCACGTTCGCGAGCAGGTTCTGCGCCTCGATCTTCTTCAGCACGGCGAGCGACACGGCGCAGTTCACCGGGTGGTTCTGGTACGTGTGCGAGTTCTTCCACACACCCGCGCGGCGGATCACGTCCGCCAGCCGCTGGCCCACCAACACGCCCGAGATGGTCACGTACCCCCCGCCGAGGCCCTTGGCCATGGAGATGACGTCGGGCTTGACGCCCTCTGCGACGGCGTCGAACGCGAAGAGCGAGCCGGAGCGGCCCGTGCCGCTCATCACCTCGTCCATGATGAAGATGAGGTTGTGCTTTTTCACGACCTTCTCGATGGCCGGGAAGTATCCCTTCGGCGGCGGGGTCACGCCGGGCCCCGTGCCGCCGACAGGCTCGGCGATGAACGCCATGACGTTCTCCGGGCCCAGCTCGTCGATCTTGGCGTCCAGCTCCGCCGCCAGGCGCGCAGAGTACGCCGCGTCGCCCTCGCCCGGCTGACGGTCGCGCGCCTGCGGCGTGTCCACGTGTTGGTACGCGTCCGAGAAGTAGTTGTCGTACAAGTTGCGCCGGCCGGGCACGTATCCTGTCTGGCGTCAGTGCGAGTGGTACGGGTGACTCACGCCGAGAGAGCCAAGTGTGTTTCCATGGTATGCCGGCGAGCGCGCAATAATGTACTTGCGCTGCGGCTCGCCCACCTCGATCCAGTACTGGCGCACGAGCTTCAGAATGGCCTCGACGGCCTCGGAACCTGCCGTCAGCTCGGTCTGCCCACCACGCACCAGAGTTGAGGAATGCGCCCGCGACGAACGCGCCCCCCGAACGGTCCACGAGGAACTGCGCCAGCTCCTCGCTCACATCGTGCCCCAGCGCCTGGTGGTACGCGTACGGCATCTGCGCGGCCTGCCGCGCCATGACGGCCACGAGGTCGGGGTTCGAGTGTCCCAAGCACGCGACGGCCGCGCCGCCGCTCACGCCGTCCAGCACCTCGCGCCCGTCGGCCATGCGGAACGTCACGCCCGACGAGGACACGGCGACGGGCTGCGCGCCCGCGACGTGGAACGTCGCTGGCGGCTTCGCCTCGGCCTTCTTGACCACGGGAGCGGGGGGCGGCGGAGGCGGGCCGGCAGTTGTCGCGTGCTGCGTGACGGCGGCGGCGCGGGGCGCCGTAGTCACTGCGCGCGCGAGGCGCGGCGCGCGGGCGCTCTGTCGGAGAAGAGGACGGAGCATTGTAGTGCAGAGAGGCGAGTGAGAACGAGTTGACGGAAGTTGAGGTTATGAGAAGTGGGCAGAGGCCCGTGTAGACATGCCTGGCGGCGCTTAGCTGATACGACCGATACGATGCTCGCTTAGATTGCCGAGATGTGACGCCGGCCCCCGGCGACGTCCGTGAGCGAGGCACGGTGCGTCGGTGAACGATGTACGGATAACATAATAAGACGATGTGCGTTTTGCGGACAGTAGAGGTGATGTGTTGAAGAGACTGAGCGTGGGAGGAGCCGCGGCTCGACTGTCATAACGAGGCGCCGGCGGATGTCCGGAGGTGCGGATGTACAGAGTTCCATCTTCCTGCCGGCAAAACCACCTTGCAGGTAGTCTGCCCACTCTCTCCACTGTATTTATGACCTCGAGTGACACCGCCGTCTCCGGTATCCCCCCCTCACTGACATCGCACTCACACTTGCAATGACCCAGAGCAAGACTTGGAAGAACGTCGCGGCAGAGAAACAAGCGGCCCGCGCTGCGGCCATCCCTGCCGACTGGGTGATCAAGCCGACCGATGCCCTAAACGTAATGGACATTCCCGCGACGTGCGGCGTGCTCTCCCCACAAGAGGTCGAGATCACTGAGACCCCTGCCTCAGAGCTAGTCAAGCGGCTCTTGTCGCGCGAGCTGTCCTCCGAATCCGTCGTCACTGCATTCTGCAAGCGCGCCGCGATCGCACAGCAGCTCACAAACTGCCTGACAGAGATCTGGTTCGACGCGGCCATTGCTGAGGCGCGCGCCATCGACGCAGAGTACGCCCGCACAGGTACGCCGCGGGGCTCGCTGCATGGCCTCCCCGTCAGCCTCAAGGACAACGTCAACGTCAAGGGGCACGACACGACGATCGGATATATCGCCTACTGCGGGCAGCCGGCGGCCGCCGACGCCGTGCTGGCGCAGGCATTTCGCGCCGCCGGCGCCGTCCTTTTCTGCAAGACCAACGTGCCGACCGCCATGCTCATGGCTGAGACGTACAACAACGTGTGGGGGTACACACCGAACCCATACAACACGGCATACGGCGCGGGCGGCTCGAGCGGCGGTGAAGGCGCGTTGCTCGCGCTGCGCGGCTCGCCGCTCGGCACAGGCACCGACATCGGCGGGTCCATCCGCATCCCATGCGCCGTTAACGGCGTGTATGGCCTCAAGGCGGCCGCGGGCCGCTTCCCGCTGATGGGCGGGCGGCCCGGGCTGCCGGGCCAGGAGGCGATCAAGTCCGTCATCGGTCCGATGGCGCCTGACCTCGACGGCCTCGAGATGTGGAGCAAGGCAGTGCTGGACGCGAAGCCGTGGGAGGTCGACCCCGCCGTCTTCAAGCTGCCGTGGCGCGACGTCGCGGTGCCCACCAAGCTGTGCTTCGGCATGATCATGGACGACGGCGCGATCGCGCCCACGCCCGCCATCACGCGTGTGCTGAAAGAGACGCGCGCGGCGCTCGAGGCCGCGGGCCACACGGTCGTCGAGTGGCAGCCCTACGATGTCCCGCGCGCGCTCGACCTCTTCATGGCGCTGATCAAGGGGGACGGCGGCGTCACGATCGCGGACACGATCGCGGGCGCCATCCCCGAACCCTTCCCCGCTGGGCTGGCACACTTCGACGCGGCGGCCGCCGCGGCACGCGCAAACCCGCCCACTGTGAAGGACCTGTGGAAGACTCAGGCGGAACGGCAAGCGTATCTCGCGGAATTCGTTGCGCACTGGCACGCGTCGCGCCACCTCACCGGCACAGGGCGGGCGTTCGACGGGGTCATCGCTCCCGTCGCGCCTTACCCCGCTGCAAAGCGGTACGAGTTCCCGATCCGCGAGGGCACATATACGTTTGTGTGGAACCTCGCGGACCAGACGAGCCTCGTGTTTCCGGCCGGGAGGGTGGAGCGGGGCGATGTGGGCGAAATTGGGCGCGCGTACCGCAGCGAGGACGAGAAAAGCGCGTGGGAGAAGTACGACGTACAGGGCCTCGAGGGCATGCCGGTTGGTCTGCAGCTCGTTGTGCCGCGGCACGAGGAGGAGCTCGCCATCAAGCTTGGGGCAGTGGTTGTGGAGGCGATTGAGAATAAGTAAAGTGTTGTATGCAGGCTTGCATCAGAGGCACAGCGCGGCTGTGTGTGGAATCTGAGGGGCTCGGAGCCTTAGTCGTTCAGTATGCAGAAGTCACTACTGCGCCGTGGTCCGGGGGAGTGGGTCGTAAGAGGTCAGAGACGGGGCTGTAAATAAGATGGAAAAAGGGCGTTGATGTCGAAGATCAGCCATCCGTTGCTGGCACCGACCACAGCCCGATGTCACTGTGTCCTTCGGTGGTCTCCGCAAAGCTAGTTCGTTCGTCCAACACTAGTAGGTTGCGGAGCCTGCTACATGATGCGTGGTGCATAGCTCAAAGCCCACGGCTTGAGCACGCTGCTGGTGATGGCGCCAAATGGTGAACACTTCTGTTGTTGTTGTTGTGGAATTGTCAAGGAAGAGAGAGAGGAGATCCAGATGCGATCAACAGACCAGTTCGGGGATATCGCCGAAACGCCGGTCACGTGGCAAATCTCATGGCTGGCACTTTTCGGCGGCGACTACGAGCCACCCAGCCCCCACCGTACACCGCAGCGGCTCGTACTGCATCCATTGTTGTCTCCATCTCTCTCGCTCTCTCTTCAGCTACTCGAAACAACAACAAACAAACAAACAAACATCATGCGTACGCTTTTGACTCCCTACCCTATGCGCCGCCATGCTCACACCAGCTCCAAAGAAACAGAAGGGCCAGAAGATGGGCCTCGCCGACTTCATGGGAAGTGGTACGTCTCCTTGAACACGGCCCTTGTCCTCGTCCTCGCGCTCAACTCTCACTTGCTAACTCCAGCTGGTGGCATCACGTCGTGGGCCGATGAGATGGAGGCTCTTCCCACTGCGCGTACGTCTTTGTCCTCGAGATTATCCCTTCCGTCGGCTTTCTCCTCTCATTTCGCCCTCCTCGGTCTCGGCCTTCCTGCCTCCTATCACCCGTGCACTCGATGATAACTAACCCCAGCTGCCGCGCGCGACCCCCTCGCTACTCCCCGTCGTGGCGAGCCCGGCTATCTCGACAGCATGCCCGACCGTGGCTCGCGCTTCGGCGGCGGCCCGCCCATGCGCGAGGAGGTGCCCCTTCCCACTGTCCCGCCCTTCACAGCGTTCATTGGCAACCTCACTTTCGAGACCGACGACGCCGAGCTCCGTGACTGCTTCTCGGAACTCACGCCCATCTCAGTCCGTCTTGTAAAGGACCCCGCCACCGGCAAGAGCAAGGGCTTTGGCTACGTCGAGTTCAGCACCCAGGCCGGCCTCAAGTCCGCCCTCGACCGCTCGGGCTCCAACCTTGGCGGGCGCTCGATCCGTGTCAACGTTGCTGACGCGCGTGAGTGTCCTGAGATTCCAGATGGTGGCAAGGAGAGAGCGGAGGGGAGATGATCCTTGGGATGCGGGGAACTGCGTGGAACAGCCGGCGAGCAGCGCGCGACAGCGCTCATACCCGCAAAGGGGCGTTCTAGCAGTACTCGTGTGCCCACTCGAAGCCGCATAGCACGCACGGTGTCAATGAGGAGCGAGTGCACATGCCTAAGCAGCGGTCGTCTAGCACAGTAGCGCAGGGGGAATAGAAGGCGACTACCCCGTGCACGAGGTTGAGGCATCCTCACCTCATCCAAAGCGTGACCGTTCCTGTTGGAAGAAGAAGACGGCGTGACATTTGCCCCAACCACCACGCACAGGCAGTGCTGACTCCAGCTGCGTCTCGCTCTGGCGGCCGCGACTTTGCGCCCTCGGTTGCCGACGAGTCCAACTCGTGGCGTCGCGCCACCCCTCTCCCAGCCCGCGACCCTCCCCGCCGCACATTCTCGGGTGTTTCGTCCAACGCTGGCAGCGAGGACCGCGACTGGTCTGCTGCGCGCGGCGCAAGGTTCACCCCGAGCTCGCGTGAGAGCTCTGGCTACGGCCGTCCCCGCGAGCACGAGCCCTCCCACCCCTCCGTTGCCGATGAGGCTGGCCAGTGGCGCTCGGCGCGCCCTCTCGTCAACGCTCAGCCCGAGAGGCACAGCCCTGGCGGCCGCGACGCTCCTCCTCACCGCCCCGCTGGCCCTGCCGACACCGAGTCGACTGTAAGTTTGCCTTGTCAAGCTGTCAAACTGTCAGAGTAAAGTGCAAGTGCTGACGGCAGTGGTCGCGCGGAACCCGCGTCCCTGCTCCCGCCGCTCCTCCGGCCGAGCCTACGCGCCAGCGCCTAAAGCTCGCGCCCCGCTCCTCCGCTCCATCGGGCCAGAACTCTCCCGAGGCGACGCCCGCCAAGGCCAACCCCTTTGGCGGGGCGCGCCCCGTTGACACGCACACGCGCGAGCTCGAGGCAGAGCAGCACGCCGAAGCGCGCCGCAGGGAAGCAGCGGCTGCCAAGGCTAAGCCTGCGCCGCCGCCCAAGGAGGAAAAGAAGGAGGAGCGCCGCCCTGTGCGCGTGCACCCTTCGCGCATGCCGCCGAAGGAGGCTGCGGCGGCCGACGAGGACGGGTTTGAGGCCGTTGGGCCGCGCGGCAAGGTCGCTGCGGCTGCCGCTAGCGACGAGGGCAAGACGGCCGCCGCCAAGCCCGCGGCGACCAAGCAGGGCTTTAGCTTTGCTGCTGCCGCCGGGAAGGTAGACGTCGACGTCGACGACGTCGCTGACAAGGTTGCGGACGTGTCCGTTTAGCATCTGTAGCGTAGACTTAGACATGATACGTTTGGGATTCGAGCGAGCGGGAAGGGCGGGTGACGGGGAGTCATGCATTCGGCGCCCGACGTTCTGCACTGATGCACCCAGTGTCAAGAAAGTGCACCAACCCATATTTGTGTGAGTGGCAAATTTAGGCTGAGGTACGCCACCGCGCCGATCGTCGTCATGTGCTCAGTAATGTTCATGTGGCGTCCTCATCATCGTCTCTGGCCTCTAGACCGTCATCTCCCCCCATTTCTGCTGCCTCGATGCTCGGACAGCGCTCACTCAGCAATGCACTTGCGCTCCCTCCAACCCGGCATCCTCCCCTGTCTCCTCCATCGGAGAACTGGCCACTGTGTTCCGGCGTCCATGCGCCCGGCTAACGGTGGCCGATGACCTCAGATACCTCAGAATTTCGACTGTCTGATAGTCAGGCACCGCCTCCCGTCGACGTTGGATCTCGTATCTCTTCTCCTTTTCCGTCACCGTCTCCATCTCATCTGCACATACGCCTTGCGCCTCTTTTGCGCATACTCTTACGCCTTACGCCCTCTGTTCTACGCTCACTTCATAAACACTTCCGTTCATGCCTTCTCCTCTCCCTCCCTCTCCCTCTCCTTCTCCTCCTCTCCACCCTCCCTCCTCCCCTCCCGAAGTCACCTCCGCTCCTCAGCTACCCACCCCGCTCCCTTCAACCCCACCCGCGCCCACCCCACACTCCTTCTACCTCCCCCAAGGCTTGGTCGGCAAGGCGCTCGCCCTTCCCGCCCAGCTTCTCTTCGCGCTCCTCGGCATGCTCGGCGTCGCGACGTGGGCGCGCCAGATCGTGCGCGTCGTCCCCCGCTCAGCGGGGACAATTGCCCGTGACGCTGCCGAAGACGTCACGGCCTGGGTCGACCGCAACGTCCCCAGCCTCAAGGGCACATTCAAGCCCGCCTGGTGGCTGCCCAAGTGCATGTTGCTGAGATAACGCTGACCCCAGCGGCCACTTCCAGACTGCGTATATCGTTATGGGCGACTTCAGCAAGGTGGACCGCGTCGACTATGTGCGCACGATGCTGCGATTGCCTGACGGCGGCACTATGTGAGTGCAGAGAATGGGCGGGGCTGTTGGGGTTACCGGGGCGTGTCACCTCGCGGCGATCAGTGCCCAAATGTCCGATTCCTGCCTACCTCATTACCGGCACTGAGCACTGGAGACTGACACCAGCTCCCTCGACATCACTCCTCCCAATCACTTGGAACTCCCCGTCGACGCACCGACGCTCGTCGTGTGCCACGGCTTGACGGGAAATGCTAGAGAAAGCTACGTCCGCAACATCCTCAACTGGGCGATTAAGCCGACGAGCGAGGGCGGCATCGGGGCGCGAGGCGTCGTCGTCAACGTGCGTCCAGTAATTTGCCCGATCTGACCCCAGTTCCGCGGTTGTGGCGGCACGCCTCTCACGTCCCCGCAGCTCTACTCGGCGGCCGCGTCGTGCGACCTCAACTCGGCGGCGCACTACCTGCGACACACATTCCCCCAGTCGGCGCTCCACGGCATCGGGTTCTCGCTCGGCGCGTCCGTTCTCGCGCGCTACCTCGGCGAGCGCGGCGACTCGTCCCTCCTCTCGTCGGGCACCGTTATCGGCTGCCCGTGGGACATCAACGCGCTTTCGCACGCGCTCGAGGACGGCTGGCTGTCCTCGCGGCTGTACTCGCGCGCTCTCGCACACAACCTCATCAAGCTCTTCTTCCGGCACTACGACCGCAACCCGCTGATGTGGGAGCAGAACGCGCAGCTCAAAGAGTGCGTGCCGGCCATGAAGCACCTGCGGAGCCTCGGCAAGGACGTGCGCCTCAAGATGGTCGACGAGATGTTCACGGCGCGCGCCGGCGGCCCCCGCCCGCCATGGCCGTTCGATGGCGCGAAAGAGTACTACGAGTATGCTGGTAGTGCGCAGCTCATCCACAACATCCGGGTGTGAGTGGTCGATGCGCGTCACTACGCGCGCCGTCAACAGGACGCCAACTGGACACGTGCTGATTCCAGACCCACGCTCGGTATCAACGCATACGACGACCCCGTGGTGCACGGCACCGCCCTCCCCATCTCGCAGGTGCAGGAGGGGTCCCACGTCTACCTCGCGGTGACGGGCGCCGGCGGGCACCTCGGGTGGTTCGACGGGCCCATAAAGGGCCCGGCGTCGCGGCGCCGCTGGGTCGTCAAGCCGATGGGCGAGTTCCTGACCGCGGCGGCGCGCGACCTCCCGCCGCGTGCGCCCGTGTCCGTCGTGCCCGGCCCAGGCCCCGAGTGGGCGACTGTGACCGCCTCAACCTCAGCTTCGGCCCTGCCGATGCCGGACGAGGTGTGGATGCCGCCCGAGCTAGAGGGGTGGGAGAACGAGGTCGTGAACGGCATGAGAGCCGGCGTCGAGCCTCCCCCCGATGGGTTTGTCGGGGGCTCCCCGCTCTCGCCTGCGCTCTCGATCGGCGTGCTCTCCGAAGAGGAGGAGGAGGGCGAGATGAACTTTGACATCTCGCGCACCGACACGCCCGTACAGCACCTCCACGGCGCATGGCAGTGGGTCCAAGCGCCGCCGATGGTGATCCAGACGGGCGCAACGCCGACGCGTGTCGGATGGAAGGTGCTGTGCCGCGACGAGGACACGGACAAGTGGCACCAAACGGCCACGCCCGAGCTGCAGGGCCTGTAGCGACCACACTCATTAGATGCTAGATGCCATTAGATCGCCTCACGTCTGAAGAACCCGTCTCGGAGTTGCTCATCGAGTCGCCCATGTCTGAGGACGCCCATGGAGGAGCCCATCTCGGAGGTCATGGCGCTCGTGAGCTTCACAAGGGCCTTCCTCAAGCCAAGAGCCGGCGATTACCGGCGGTGCCTGGCCCCGGACCCCAGATTTCTCCACATTTCATCGGTTAGCTGCGAGGCCGGGGTGACCATGTCAGTATTGGTGGGCAGCTCGACGCGCTCGGCGCTCGTTAAGACCTCGCGGACGACCACCTCGCCCACTCCGCCTCACCTCTCATCCTCGACGCACACGGAAAGATGGCAGCCCCCACCCCGACCCTTCGCAACATCCCGCCCGCTGAGTGTAAGTGTCTCACCGACGAAGTGCTCACATCAGGCGCGCGCGTCCTGTGCTCCCCCGACGGGCCGTTCGCCATGAGCGAGCTGACGATCCACGGACGCAAGCAGCGCGTTTGGACGCGGCAGGTGCCCACGTTCCGCCAGCTCATCATGGAACGGATGGCGGCGAATGCGTCCAACGTGTTCCTCTCGTCGCCCGTGGCTGACCCCGAGCCGTTCCATGCCCGCGAGACGCTCACGCACGGCGAGGCGTATGCGCGCGCACTCGACCTCGCCGCCGTGCTCCGCGACGCCGGCGTCGGTCCCGGCACACGCGTGGCTATCGGCGGGACGAACTGCACTGGGTGCGCCACGGAGCGGACACGCTGACCGCAGATGGGTGCTCGCATTCATCGCGCTCCACCTCATCGGCGCCGTCCCCGTCCTCCTCAACAATGGCTTGCACGTCGACGCCACCGTCCACTGCTTGAAGCTTACCAAGCCCGAGCTCGTCATCGTCGACGACGCCATGGCCAACCAGCTCGGCCCCGTCGCAGCCTCTCTCAAGGGCAAGGGCGTGGGCCCCATCTGGTGCTGGACCTCTCTCGGCCACCTGTCCGCGCAAGCACGCGCCAACGTGACGGTGAGTGAATCTCAATCCTCCCGATGCTCACCGCAGGAACTCGCCACCCTCAAGCCTTCGCCCCCGTCTCTCGCCTCCGTCAAGGACGGCTTGTTCACCTCGGGCGTCGGCCCCGAGTCCGACGGCATCATCTACTTCACGTCGGGCACGACGAGCATGCCTAAGGGTGTGCTCGTGACGCAGCGGCAAGCCCTGCACGTCGTCATCTCGGCGCAGTACATCCCTGCGCGCATGGCGATGCGCATGGGTGCGTCGCCGCAGGAAGCGATCGCGCTCGCCACGGCGCCCAAGCCCGACGGCGTCGCGCTCCTCTCCATCCCCCTCTTCCACGTGCAAGGTAACCTGAACTGGCTTGTCGGCGCGATTGCCGAGGGCTCCAAGCTCGTGTTCCTGCGCCGCTGGTCAGTCCCCGACGCCATCAAGATCATGGTCCAGGAGAAGGTCGGCAAGATCGGCGGCGTGCCCGCCATCGCGACGTCGGTGCTCCAGAGCCCGCTCTTGCCGAAGGACTTTGAGCTGGCGCAGAGCGCGTTCGGCGGCGCGTCCCCGCCCTCCCGTCTCCCAGGCGACCTTGTCAAGCGCTGGCCCAACCTCCTCGTCGCGACTGGGTGGGGCATGACCGAGACCAACTCGACATGCACGGGCTCGTGCGGCATGGAATACGTCAACAAGGTAAGGCTCAGGGTGGCGTAGTCTCACGCCAGCCCCTCGCGTGCGGCGCACCCATCCCCATCGCAGAGATCAAGATCGTGGACCCCAAGACGCGTGCCGAGCTGCCAGCCGGCCAGGCGGGCCTGCTCCTTTCGCGCGGCTCGAGCATGATGAAGGAGTACGTCAACAACCCGAAGGCGACGGCGGAGACGATCGATGCCGACGGCTGGCTCGATACCGGCGACATCGCATACGTTGACGCCGACGGGGACCTCTACATTGCGGACCGCGCGAAGGACATCATCATCCGCGGCGGCGAGAACGTAAGCCCCATTCGGAACGCGCTGACCCCAGATCCCGTCGGCCGAGGTCGAGCGCGCCCTCGCCCAAGACGACCGCGTACAGGAGGCGTGTGCGGTGCCGGTGCCGCACCCCGTGCTCGGCGAGTGTGTCGGTGTCGCCGTGTCGCTGGCGCCAGGCGCGACCGCCACGCCAGAGAGCATCGCAGACGCCGTCTTCCCCCGCCTCCGGTATCCTGCGCGCCCCGCCGTCGTCGTCGTCAGCCCGACGCCGCTGCCGTGGAACGCGAGCCAGAAGATCCTCAAGAGCGAGGTCAAGAAGATGGTCCTGGCTGCTTGGGATGCGCAGGGGCGCAAGCCCATGGTCGACCCCACAAAGTCCAGGCTGTAGTCAGTTGAGGCTCGTAGCCAAATATACTTGTATGCCACGGTGAGCACGTGAGACCGGTCTGAGTTGGTAGCACTCCTTCCGTCGCCGTCTGGTACTCACCCGTTCTTGTTCGTGGATCAGTCCATTCGCTCCGGCAGCAAGTGGAGTTCGCCCACCGTGGCAGTGTGTGGCGTAGCTTCGGCGTCCCATAAGCAGACTCAGCGCAATGCCGCGCACCAGCGGACTCACCCCCATCGAGTACCGCTCTTCCGAAGAATCAGACGTTATTATCGTGTTGCCTCAACACGCCGACAAAATCAGAGGTCCTGTATCTTGGTGCCACAGTCATGTTTCCGGGGGAGATGATCGCCCCGTTACCCCTCAACGTCGACGTGGCCTCCTTCCTCCATCGGCTCGCTGTTCCTACTCTTCTCTACTCCTCTTGACTCCTCTCTACTCCTCCTGTTCGCCTCTCATCACTCGACACTCAAGCTGCTATGCCGACATCCCCTCCCGATCACTCAGCCCCGTCCTCCGACGCCGCAGGTGCCTCCGCGACTGACGCAGCGGGGGCATCCGCCTTGGCCGCCACCTCCCTCCTCACTCCGTTAGACATGATGTTCCACCGCCTCCCCCCTCTCTAACACACAGCTCTCAAGCGAGGTCAGAAACTCCCACTGATTTCAGACGAAACTCTCGCGGAGGCGTATCGAGAAGCTGACTTCTTGGGGGGTGGTGGGGTTCGTCGGCGCCCTATCACCCGAAGGGGTCCGCGTGCCATTAAGGCAGCAGTCGCCTCACCATGCCCTATCGCTGGCCTCATCGAGACGATTCTCGCAAACAACGGCACTAGCAGTATCATTCTCCGGCACGACGACGCCTATCTGGCCGTGCTTGTCGAACGCTTGCTCAACGCCTCGGCTGCAGGCGTGCAGCTTGACAAAGCTTTGGATAATTGCCTGTCCTCTGCAGACTTCGCCTTGGCCAATATGGCGTATTTTGCACATGATGGGTTCTTTACGATGACGACAATCTCGCACATGCTTCCATTCGTGAACGCGCTACTGGCTGACAAGTCGGCGTGGACACGGGGGCCAGAAATACACTCTTGGGGGTGGTTTACGGCGTCCTCAGAGCACGAAGGCTCCCCTGATGCGTTAGTGGGAGCACCATCCGCAACGAGGATTGAAGCAAAGGCTGCTGTGAAGGTTAAGCATACGCGTACTAGCTTCCTTAACGTTATCTGTCGTGGCGCCACCTTCGGCGCCAGCAACATCGACCACGTGACCCACACGTGGTCTACGCCCAACGTCACGTGCATGCGGAACCAGCTCCTCAC